TGACTTTTCGAACTCGTGTAGGAGTCCATTGTCAAGATGATGACAGCAACAAAATGAGTGTTAGATTCAGAGGATATTATCTAATTAACGATCAATGACGTGAGTCCGAAGGCACCTGCGCAGTGCTCTGTATGCCGGTGCCTGGTTGACACACTGATTGACTGAGTTCCCATTCCAAGCCCAGTCTTCAATCAATTCTCGGTATGTCTCGCTTCCGGCGTGGGCGATTATCTCGATGGCTGCGAAGTTAATTTCCTGACTCATTTTGAGGGTATGGGCAGTCGCTTGTGATAACGTAGGATGGAAACAAACTCCCTCGGGCCAGATTTCTAGAGAGAGAACTCTTAACAAAAAAGTAAATAAGGTGGGTGGGCTACTTCGATCCCCGAACAGGTTTGGTAGAAAGCACCGTTTCACTTATGTTCTTCCTGCAATCGGGGCACCGCTGTAGCTCCGTCTTCAACAACAAACTAGCCATCTGAGTCATCCTTTTACGCGTCTATAACTTCCGGCGTTTCAGATAGTACATGAGACACGCGCTATAGCTGGTCAATAGGTGTCGCGTGTGGTTCACTCTTGCCACTTTTCTGTACAATGACCCTCCTGTTGCAGATGAACTTTTTCTAAATTCCGAAGGGGTTAGAGTTATAGTTAGGATTAGGGTTAGGAGGATTAAAGTAAGTGCTGGAGCTTGAGTTGGGACACGGAAGTAGGAACCACTGAAATTTAGCGTGAAGCTACCTGTAATGCTCAAAGAGTCCGCATTCCCATGTCCAACTGACATTTATAGCAGACCCCCAAGCGGATGGTGCTGATGTCGTGCTAGACCGAGGGTGGAACCGCATTTCCTCATGACATACGTTAGGTGGACTGTGTCAAGACAGCAGGAGCCGTAAGCCATCGTCATACTTGCGTGTGGCATGCGTTGGACGAGGGCTTATAACGCCTTAGCCACTAAAGTCGGCCGCATGCCCAGTCGGCTTCACACCGACAGGTCAATGGGACATGAGAAATGAAGGAGAGGGTAGAGCTGATCAAGCTATAATCTAGCACGTAGCTTCCTTAATGCAAACAGCTGAACGCCCTCTTCAACTATCGGAAACTTCCAGCATGCGGGACTTGGGATAGTACAAACTATAAGTATAACTTGGTTCTACGGAGGACTGAGAGTGAGGTTGCAATGGCTCCTTCACTCCCATTTCAGTAATGCTTTCGATTCCTTCTTTTTTGAAACCAGGTTCGTATAGAGTTAGGAGGCATACTGTGTGCATAGGATCGTTTAGCGCTACCAGCCAGTGTGATCCGGTGCGTTCGCAAGGAAAATTGAACTGTCGAACTCCATTCTCTTTGGCAGAGGGGCGCTCACCGATCGCTTTTACGGAACTCACTCGTCTCGCTTTGCCTTACGTCTCTCCCCGAAACCCAACCAATAGCCGCACAGCGACGCATTATATAGGCAGAACAGCACTAGCGATCGTTTTTACGGGACGAGTGAGTTCCAAATGTGGAGGTGGCGGAAAAAACATTAAGTTCGTAAATGATCAAGAGTGTGCTTTAGATTATAATGGAGATAATAGAAATAATAAATTCTGGACAAATATGCAAATTATGAAGGAGAAGCAAACGGGTTCCTATGTTACCGCAAGGCACTGAATCAGTGACTTTCTCTCCATAAGTTCCCGTTATTTTGGATTTGAAGTCGTTAGTTCCTATTATGCAATTGATCCTCAATTTGTAATTTACAGTGCGTTTATATGACCCCTTTGCTGAGGCCTACTATACTGCACTGCGACGTAAGTTGGCAACAGTTTAAGTTTTTGTGTTCTTTTTCTCCACCCCCAGATTGCACTTGCAGCTATTATGCATTTTATAAAGTCACGCTTTGAGTATTTCTGTTTTCTAGCGTTTACGCAGGAATCCTGCTACAAATCTGCCGTTAAACTGGTTCCAATGCATAAAGCAGCCATCACGTTTCTTGGCATAACATCATGGTAGGTAATAAGAGTCTCCTTATAGACGAACATGTACTTTTTGTCTTATGATTCAGTATTTAGCATGCGCATTATGTTGCAAGTGAAAAGTTGAGCGAATCCTGCATGGACAACTGCTGTAATGTTCTCCTCTACCGAGACTATTTTATCTTATTTTCTGACTATTATCCTGTGGTAGTTAGAATGAGGTACTTATTCTTAGTCTTGGTATCGCCAAATAAAAGGTTTTGGACGTACACTCCACCCTGTGACGAAAAATATTAGCAGCTTACCTGCACTTCCTGGCTGCGTCATATACGCATCCAACAGGCCTCGCGGGAGCCCGCAACACAGGTACCTTCTTTCTGAAGGTGTGGGGCGCGTGGGTGGAGTCAGGCTACCAACTAACGCATCTTTGTTTTGGGTTCTTGTTCGGGCCCTTTACCAAATGTCGCAGATAAAGGTGATGAATGCGAACAAGAAACCGAAACGTTGAGCCAATAAACTCCTTGTTTCAGCACTCGCGTATTCTTCTGAACTGCTACCTAGAACTCGGTTCTTCGCCTCTATCGGCATGTTTTGATCTCATGACTAGCGACAATTATAGTTCTTAACCTTTGGTTGCCACGAGATGCTTCGAAGCTCTTTTATCGGGCTAGTCAGGTTTTGGAACATCAGTTATCTGGGGAAACGTTGAAAGACAATTTCATAAATTTTCGGAGAAACTTAGGCATAAGATTCTCATTCATCTAAATTACGATCAAGTAAGTAGAGTAATGGCTGTACTAAAGCCTTCCCCTTACCGCGTGGGTTCGAATCCTACCGAGACGCCGACTTTTTCACAGTTGGGTCAATATGAATTATTCAAAATCTGCCAAAATATCTATGAAAGACAATTTCAAAAATTTCAGGATAAACCTAAGTAAAGGATTCTCATTCATCTAAATTACGGTCACTTGGCCTTGATAAGTTCACTCGTGTCAGTAACGCAGGCTCACATTTCACCCACTTGAGAGAACGTCTTTTAACAAAGTGGTCATAGAAGCATCTTCGATATCATCCTTTTAGTGTTTCTACGGGCGTCTCGATTGTGACAGGCGATGCAGAGGGGAGAATACGTTTCTCCGACCCCAACTTCCTCCTACTGTACTGGTATAACGAAGCCAGGTTTGGTGAGATCATGTCTATCAGCTTTGCCGACCGGGGTCTGATTGATGGGTAGGTGTTCGTAAAATATTCAACCCTTAGTCCACGCTAAGTCTTTATGTTCGCTCTTCCATTGGCTCTTGCCTTGGTAACAAAACCTAAGACTTCCCAGATATCTTTAATACTAACACCATACTTTTGGCATTGCAGGTGTTTTAAATCCCTTTGAACGCGCTGTAATGCCTTTTTGACTGAAATGCTCCCAAAATTAGTACTACTTTCAATTACGTCTCTTAGAAAACGAATTTCGTTGTTCGGAAAGTAGTAAGTATTCTAGTTGGCATTGTTATAGGTCTTAATTTGCGTGATGTTTGTTAGATTGCAACTTTTTGTTCATTTACTCAAAGACTGTCCATTTCGTGCAAGATTTAAACTCATCTCTCACCATATGCAATCTCCCCTGAAGCGGTCTTACCCAGTTTGCTAACACAAAGTACCCTGAAGATGCAACCATCCCAAGGGAAAAGTTCGTGGTGGAGGACTTTGTCGTTAGCACATCGCACGCGGTTCTTGCGAGCATTGGTGTGGAGGGAAAAGTTGTCAAGGTACGTCATACTTTGCCGTCACTTTCAGTACAACACCGTTTTATTCAGATAAACTTCGCAACTGGAACTTTATGGACTATTTGTTCTGTCAGCATTAATCAAGTCACCATTTTGAAAGAGTTTTTTAACGGTACTTAGGGTAAATCATAACCGCCATGCCAAACAAATCGTGCTTTCTGATACCAACACTAATTTGAATAGCTTTATTCCACTATTGGGAGTCTAGCTCATAACTTGTACTTGAGACTGCGTCCTGATGTTTCGGCATTGATTGGGCCTCGTATTTGTTCTTAGAAACTTACCAGACCTTTTCTTGCTTTTCTAAGGTGGAAAAGTAGTGCGTTGAGGGGCTCTGCATCGACGGATGCTCGCCCGGTTCGAATGCTCCAACAGATCATATTGCCAAGTTAACCCCATCAAGATATTAGTATCGTGTTGCTGAGATTGAGCTAAGGGTGGGAAAATTGACTTCCATAAAAACGGATATAGTGTGTGACCAATTCCCTAAGGTGTTAAAAAATAATCTGTTCGTAAGAGCCTAATAGAAGCCAGTAAATCGCTCAGATAATAACTGAGAAAATCCTTCTTGAATTCTCTTTTAAAATGATTTCGAACTTTAACACTAAAGTGCAGAGGTTGCAGTAAGGGTTTCGCAATCGCATTCTGGGGGATCCAAATGCATTAAGAGATCGTCAGGCAAAACGTTGGCTGCCTAAATCTTTATCCACAAGCTCTGTCGAGCAAAATGCCGCTAGATCGGTGCCACTGGCAGTCCACAATCACTCCTCTCTCTTATGTTCCCTTAACTAGGTCTCACTTTTTTCTCTTCTGCTGTGTTTTTATGGCCCGCTGTTGCTCAATTTTGCAATCTCGGACACCGACACAGTTAAAAGTTACCGAATAATCTCAAAATTAGGCCTCCTTATCCTTTTAACCACTACCAACGCAATTTATTTTGGATTTCAGTTAATTCAAAGGGAAGAGTATTCCATTGTTAACGCAGTTGCGACTCACCCAAAGCTGTAAGTCTACTTCTGTTTTGTCTAAATTGCAAAAGTTGACACTTCGGATGTCCAAAATAACTTTATGATAGTTGAAATCCTTTACGTTTTAGTACTTGCGGTTTTCATGCTTCATATCACCAAAATCATATTCTTCCTAGGGACCTGGTCACAGTAGCAGGCTACTGCGGGATGGTTAAAACTTGGAATTACAAATCGATGTAAGCGCTCTTTCTGTGATATCCTGCAATTTGTGGTCCTTGGGCATTAAAACGGTGCATTCATTGCCTGTAACGTGCGTTTTGTGTCAGAAATCTGAGAATGCAAGTCGACTTTGACTATAATAGGATGTTAGATCACCAAAATCTCTAAGGGGGAGCGGGATATCATTAGTTCGTTTAACCTCCACTAGAAATTGTCGCTTCTAGTCTTAACGCATGACTTGCATAAAAGTAAACACAAAAATATACGTGGGTCTTAGTAAGTCACTACTACGTGCGCAATCGTCTAAAGCAACGCCTTTTCCTATAATTGTTAAATTTACAAAGCGAACAATGTAGTATTACTGTCCAACTCGACGAAGACCACCGTCGTCAGGTTGTATTCTTGGTTTGGGTGATGGTTGGGACACCTCATGACTGGCTCTCTAGCGTGTCCGATGGTGTCCGATGTCCTTCTTACGTTCAGCGAGGTTGCGGACGAACGTAACGCCCCTCCTTTCTAGTCCACAGAGCATTAAAATCCAAAAATTACGAACAATCTGCTTTGTCAGCAAATCGTCTTGCGGCTGTAAGATTTGCTACCTCGTATGTTCTAGGTTATAGGCACTATAGACTGCATTTGCATGCATCTGCTGCTTCATTGAATACAGTCACCTGTGCAGTATTCTTCGTAAGCCCAGTTGATCAATCGTTCAGACCAAAAGGACGCTGATCTGAACCGTAGAGAAGGGAGTATCCGTTAGCTCGCGCAGCCGGCAAGGTAATTGTGGTAACTCAGCGGGTAAAACGCCCCGCGCAGATTGAAGATCAGGGACCGTCGATTTGTTTCCATCTTGCGGTAAACGTTTTCTGGCCATGTATGTTCTTATAGTTCCCAAACTGTCTCTAAAACGGTCCTATTTAGTCAAAGGTTCATTCTTCCAAGTAATTTTTCTGCCTTATGAATTCGAACGCCTTTATGATTATAGTAAAACAATACAGAACCCCTGCTATTATATTCAGCCGATGATCGAGACTCGCGATTGCTACAGAGTCCGATTTTGCAAAGTAAGCTAAATTATGTCGTAAAAACCCAGCGTGCTTTTAAAATTAGCCAAATCACATGCTGCCTCCTCAAATGAAAATCACAAGATCCTGCATTTCAAAACCGGTTCAGTATGAAATAACTTGCATACGCTAACCTTGAGCAAAGGTGCAGTCCTGACCTCACAAACTAACGCCTCGGCCGATTCTAGTTAAAGCAAGCTTTTTGCAAAACTCGAAGTGCTGCTCTACTGCTTGCTTTTACTTTTAAACGTCGGGGTGTTTGATTGTCCACAGCCGTTCTATAAACCATTATACGCGGACTCTTGCTTCTGCGCACATTTTGTTACCTTGACATTTTTCACACCCTTTCTAGTCTACCTGTGAAAACGCGCATTTTCGACAAGGGAACAGAATTTCAGTCCTGCGCATACGACCCCAACGGCCAGTTTTTGGGTGAGTTTCGTGGCTATTGCACCTCCATATTTCTTAATAAATACTCATGGTGTTTATTTGTATTTTAAACTTCAGATAGATTTTGGCTTATTTTTCCTTGTCACATGTCTGGAAACTAGAGCAAATTCGTAGATAACATGTTCGAGATCTGTCATAGCAGACCCCGTTTCCGCCATTTCTGTGAGATATCCAAACGCTCAAAGGATAAGCGGGGTTATGTTTGCATTTGCGTCAGTGTCGAAGCGACCATTTATGCTGTACCGGCGTCTTCATTGCAGATTTCGGCTTTTTGTCTTTTAGCTGTCGGTTGTACTTCAGGACGGGTAATGATGTTGGACGGCGTTGATCTGAACGACACGATGAGGCGACCCATTGACTTCGCAAAGGGTATCGTTACACAACTGGCTTTCAGCCATGACAGCGAATATTTTGCCTACGTCGTAAGTTTCTTACTTACTAACCGAACGACGTATACAGTTTTGTCAAACCATGAGCAGACCTTACCTTGCTCTACCGACATAGCTTGCTGTAATATTCGATCCTTATGCAGCAATATTTTACATGAACCAAAAGGTAAAGCAGATGAGCACAGTGAAACTGTTGAGGCTGCGAGCTAGAATGCCAATACTAAAACTGATAACCGTCTCCATGAATTTTGAAGGCCCTGAACGTCGGTGAGTCTTGATTGAAAATCACAGAAGCACAGAACGTTGCCAGAAGACGTTTCGAGTAGATCTTACACGTTTAAGGACCGGAACCACAGGCAGGTTCAAAGAACTCTGCAAGAATTTCCGATCCGTTGACGTCGCGAACGTTCTTTTGTAGCAGCTAGAATCTGGACAGGATCCAGGCTTTCAAGACTAGAACGCTTCCAAGTCCACTGTAAGAGTGATATTAATAAGTCGATGAAGTCTCATTACCAGATATTCTGATATCAGGCACGAGAATTGTAGCCTTCTGACTGATTTTTTCCGGAGAGAAATAAACATCGCGAAAACCTTTCAATATGGTAGCAGCAATTTCGTGCCATTTAGTAATTATCCTATCTCAAGCGCAAACTTCAAGGGGATATCGGCACGAAGGGTATCTTGCTTTTCAAAATCTGAACTTGCGCAAACACATGGGATGCAGTACATGCCTCTCGAAGATTCTGCCACATTTTGTGTAATTGTGCTGCTCCTGATGAGTTTCTACGCAAGTAAGGCCTTGGAACTGACTGTCGAATCAGTCGTACGTTTACATGATCGGGTTTTTAGTCCAACTAAACTTTGTATGCATTTTTAAATACGGTCATCACGTGTTTCCTTTAAGCTCATTTTTGGCACCTTGAATTATAAAAACTGCACTGTAATCTTTGAAAAATATCTTTCTATAGTGCCCGGTTAGCACAGACTTCGTGTTTGCGGGGTTGCTAAGCCAAATTTCGACAATTTTTTCTCTCGTTGTTTACACTTACTATTGCTGAAAACGGAGATTTAACGCGCCCTGTCCTCGAACAGATGCGGAAAACCGATAGATCGCACTCCCCGAAGATAACCTAGACTTCGTGGTTGATGACTGAACAGGAGCACACTTGTAATTAGGTCCTCTGTTTTTTTCGAGAGAGTGAAATTGAAGAAAATTTCGCGTATTACGAAGTTCGCAATCAGGTGTAGTCAGCGCTAACTTGACCTGTACCTCAACCCACAGACGGCTAAGGGGTCTTTATTCCAATGGGTCTCTGATGAGTTAGTCGAATTCCTACCTGTCGTTCCGTTCAGAAGCAAAAAGTACTAACGAGCGTGGAGTGAAATGTACAATAAATAAGGCCTTACATACCCATTCACGTACACCAGATGCGGAAAAATAAAATGATCAGTCCTTAAAAAATAAGGTGTTATTACCTAGCATTATATATTTTTCACCCACTTTCCAGAAAATGGTCGATTCTGAACAACTATATACTGATATTCGTTGCTAAGAGGGAGCGTGGAGCTCCGAAAAGTTTTTTTTTGCTGTCTGCTTCGACTTCCCAAGTTTGCGAAATGTTTGTTGATTTGTGTATGCCAGGCGTAAAGTCAAGCAGAGTGTGCCCTAATCATCCTGCTCGGGAAGAAAGACCTCCTCGCGTCCAGTCTTACCTCAGTCACATGTAATTTGAGAGGATGTCTTCGTAAGCCAGTGGTGGTGGCCAGCTCAAAGAAGTCGTCGCATGCGAGGCAACAATCCTGACCCCGCAACATTTGAAATGCTTGAATTGGATCGCCGCATAGTTGCCTGTAGTCCAAAGGAAAGGAGTCAGGGTTAGACATTCGTGTTTCGTAAAGCAGGTAACCTTGACCTCGGATCAGCTTGTTTGCACGTTCTTGGACATTTTCAGGGATGCTGCGATCTTTGACAGCCCATGGTCTTCAGGCTCGTATGGCAAATTTTGCTTAAGGTCCCACACCCAGCCCGAAGATTTTGCCAAAGCATACGTCATAGAACTTCGCAAAAGTCCACTTAATGTGATACAATTTTGACAATGGGGATTTGGCCACTTTCAAGCAGAGGAACGATGGCTCCAGTGAGGGGGTAGTCCATACTCCTAGGTACTTCCGAGCTTCTTCCTTTGGTATCGGGGTATGATTTAGAGAGTACGTCCTCCGGCTCGCAGTTCTAGTTTTGCTTATTCGCAAAACGTTGCATTTAGTAACATTGAGGGGAATGAACCGGTGGTTTGGCCATCGTTCGAGTCGATGCAAAGTAACCTGTAGATTTTTCATCATCTTTGATGTGGATGACGTTCCGAAGCTTTATGTCGTCAGCAAACATGCCGGTATCGCATTCAAACCCACAGATGCAGTCACCAGTAAATATGATGCAAAAACAGCTCATTTAGAGCGCAACAAGCCGGACGCTGACAGCCGTTTCACGAATGCTACCTATCATCAAGATGCCATGTTTTATATGATAGGCCATACATATAGTATATCCAGTGTCTACGTCGCACATACGGTATAATGCCTTAGTCATATAGATTTCAGGCTACTCATCATACTACTTGTTTGTAAAATGGGCATTACGTTGTTATTCCTCAGTAGTTCAATTTCCTCGACCCGATTTTTCACTTAACTTTCGGGTCTAACCTTAAAACGTCATGTCCCGGACACTTAACTCCATGTCCTGCACCGAATAATTTCTGAAACTATTCGCTTGATCCTCCTCTTGAGTTCATATTACCAAAAACCACCGAGAACGCTGCGGGAACCCACTGATGAGCCGAAACCCGCGCAGCTGTGTCATGTAGCGGTAGAAAATCGACGAAACATCTATCTGAGCTTTTAGGTAGTATGTGTGGCGGGAGTGTGGCATAAACTCTTTACCATATATAGGATACATGCATCCCAAGAATCATAATTCGGAAGACATAAGCTCTTTGGGGAAGATGAACAAGTTTTATTATAAATTTTCGACTTTGGTTTCCCAAGTCGTCCTCAGACGTAAAGTAAGTGTGCAAAACAGTTAACATTTAAACATGCCTAAAAGTCGATTTTGCCCTGTCACTCCTGCTGACGTAATGTTCTGATTTGCCTACGTCTAATCCACTTCTTCTTCAGGCTGTTGTACACCGCATCCAATTCTACGTGTCGGTTGATGCATGAGCTATCAGAATGGATGGCCTCTAAAAGTTTGCGGCCCTTCTTAGTTCTTGCTCGATTAAGGAGTCCGTTCACAGCACTCCGTTTGCGAGAGATCTGGTGATGGCTCTCGTAATGTAAAATAATTTCCGCGTAGGTTTCCTTGCGGTAAACCGAAGTGTGAAATGTCCCGTCAGGCTTTCTCTGTACGAGGACGTCATGAAACGGGAGTTTGTTGTCAGCCTCTTTCTCGAGTGTCAGTGTGATTCCTGGGGTTGTTGGGTTAATAACATTGTGGAGCATTTTCTGTTGATCACTTATAACAATGAACAAACGTGTCATCAACGTGAAGCACCCATAATTTGGGGTTAACTAGTGGTGAGGCGATAGCCTCTAATTTCTACTTTGATCTCTCATAAAACGGAGTGCCGTGAACGGACCCTATTAACCGAGCAAGAAGTCACTGCTCTGACGACGAAACCTATCAAACAGAACTGAATTGTTTGTTCAAACTGTTTTCCCAGAATGAGTATCCTTGATATTTTGTACACCGATGCATGAGACAACAGAAGTGAAAAGAAAAATACAAGGAACTAGATTGTTCCGATCAGGCGCCCAAACCAAAAAACTGGCGAACAGTTCCGTTCATTAAGAATGTGTCCGAACGAGTTGAAAGACACCTAAGGAAGCACCAAATGCATGTGGTGCACAAGTCGACGACTATACTTCGTAACCAGTTTGTACGCCCTAAGGATAGGGTTGGCTATTTGGATGAGAAGGAAGTCGTCTATAAGCTACCATGCAACACTTCTATTGCGGTTTACTTTGATCAAATTGGGAAATCGGCCTCTACACGAATACACGAACAACAGTTGGCCGTAAAAAGGCGAGGCCACTTGTCCCAAGTTGCCATGCATACGCTGAAATCTGGACGCAAGTTCGCCTGGGACAGGACTCGCATTGTAGGTGTCTGCTCATCTACGAGTGCCGCGAATTTTTAGAGGCCATCCATTCTGATAGCTCATGCATCAACCGACACGTAGAATTGGATGTGGTGTACAATAGCCTCAAGGAGAAATGGAGAAGGCGTTGGCAAATCAGAACATTACGTCAGCAGGAATGACAGGGCAAAATCGACTTTTTGGCATGTTCAAATGTTAACTATTTTGCACACTTACTTCACGTCTGGGGACGACTTGGGGAACCAAAGTCGAAAATTTACAATAAAACTTGTTCGTCTTCCCCAAAGAACTTTTTTCTTCCGAAATGTATATAAGGAAGAGGGTAGGGCCTAGAACGGAATCCTGAAGCACTCTATTCTTAACCGTGACCTGTACCGATTGCTGATTGCCAAGACGGAAAATCTTAGACCGACCACTCGGGACGTTTTCGAGTTACTTCGAATGCTTTCCCCTTATCCCTGTACGGCTGTCCTTGTATGGAAGGCGCTGGTATGGCGCACCATAAAAGGCCTTCTTAAAGTCTCTGTAGAATGCGTGCACCACATATGCTCAATGTATCGCTCGACTTCACCGTTCTTGATACTAGAACAAGTTGGTCATGCAGGACTTTCCTCTGCAGAATCCGCGCTGGGCGTCAGAAGGAAGACGATGTTGCCCCAAAGACTGCATCAGTTCGCAGGCACCTGTTTGCGGAATTTCAGCACTCCAAATTAACGTCACTTGCCCACATAACAACTGGCCTGTATTAAATCAAGCAAATGGCCTCAACAATTCGCTTTCATTGGAAACTTGTGTCTTAACGTAGATGAAATATCGTCTAATGTCCGAAAGCTTTCCGCCATCTATCGCCTTCAAACTTAACTAAACTTTCTTTAGTGCCTGAGGAAAAGCGGACACTTTTTAGACATTTGGAACGCAGGTCATTCATCACCTCTTCTGTCAAAAGGTTATAATCGCGTGAAGGAGTTGTGATGACACAGGTTTGCGTTAAACCGCACCAGATATCATTGCTATCGTGTTATAGACAAATATTAAGCCCGTCCACGGCTTGACTAGGAGCGTGATAGTCACCCAGTCATATTTCGCCGACTTCCAGTCCCTTGCTATACTATGAATCCCAACCAGGCAAAGATCTCAAAAATGCCATACAAGAATAACAGCAGGGCTCTTGCACATATTTGCTGAGTGTTCGCAGGGACTTATACCTCTGGAAATTCTCGAAGTAATTTCGAAGACCCCGCAACTCAGAGTGTAAATGCTAATTCAAATATGGTTGGTACTTGGTAAGTCTACACGAAGTAGAAGCGACACTCCAATAACTGATTTCCTATATCTTCAACGAAATGTTGAAAACATATATGATGCTATTACTTTGTTTGACTTCCTTAGAACTACTGAAGTTTGTTGGTGGTCATGATACAGCACACTTAGTCTCGCTGTTTGTGGATCACTGGATAATACAACATGCGCTGTCTGAAAGATTCTTTCATGTCCGCTCGATAATTTTTGGCGATTTCTAAAACATCTTTTTAAGCGTAACTTACCACAGGCCTTTCGTTCAAGGATGAACCAAACCGCAAATGTGAGGATCCGCAAAGAGCTCCCGCCCATTTCCGCCCCCACTCAGGTGTTCGGCAAGGAGATGCGCCATCTTCAATCTCTTTGATCTTCCGCACAGCCTTATGCAACTTCAAGGCTGAACTACGTTTGTACGGAAAGATTGCCAACGTGACTGTAGTTGGGGCATCTTGAGACTAAGACTAAAAAGTTACCACGATGGACTAGCTGCTGCAACAAAGTAATTTGAACATCAAATTAGAAGGAACAGCTTGTCCGCATGACCTAAAATCTCCAGATACCAGTGCCTGATTCTAGGTAGGATGACTGAAGAGGGAATTAAACTTCGAATAACAGCTATTTCATGCTGGAAATCACTTCGCAGCCTTTGCAATTGTGCATCCTTCAGACAAAGGTGTTCTTTTAACAGCCTTTCGAGTTTGTTCTGCTTTGAGCATATGAATTTCTGCCGTTGGTGCAAGAAGATGAATTCAAGCCTGAGAACTTCAATGTTTCCTGGGTCGGGTTCGTCTTCAGCAGACATCAACGTCAACCGACTCATTGCGATGCATTATTAGAGAGAAGGAGGGGGTGCCCTTCATGCTAACCGCGCGTTCTCTGTCAATTGACTGGGGAAGTCAACGATTGCGCCTTCGTGCGCTTCTTTTGAAGGGCTACGATGAAGATGCTGCCATCTATGATCGTATACGAAGGCTGAGCGAAAGACTTTGAAGTGCCACTCAGTTACAGACTTTGACTGTCGACATGCTTGCCCCGACAGTTTTACTGCTAACTTGTAAGAAGACGGCCACTTCATGGGTGTTCATTACCCAGTCACGTGAGGAATTATTAAGATAATCACATGTACAGTTTCACATTCGACGAATTTACTACTTGCTAAACTTGTATTTCTGCGATTTTTGTTCGATAATCATAGGGCTGGTTTATTGAGATGGAACATGGTGTCACAATGGCAGTGACCAGAATCGCACGCCAAAATCGCGTGGTATGTGGTTTAATGGTAAATGTAACTGTAGGACCAGTCCAGCCTTCCATGTCTTCTGAACCAAACTAAGAGGCTATATTTGTACCGATAACTATCCAAGGCAGCCCATTCATTATTCACTTTTCCATTTCCTTTCATGCTAAGGCTGCACTGACTTTGCTTTCCCTCACCCCAGGATTCAGAAATGTCAACCACATTACTAAAACGATGCTCTCCCGAGCAGGGGGATCTTTGGCAGTATGTTGGAAGATACCGTGCTCATAGCCGGCCTATCGTGGACCTCATGTTTCACACCTCAGCCAACTACGGCTACCCACGGTTGCTTACTCTCGGAGAGGATAGGATGATTGTAAGACGCTTCCTTTCCTTTCGTGATGCATTTCTGCTAAGTAACAAACAGAGCTTGCATAGCGGTTTCTGATCTGTCAACCGCATTTTAATCATATGGCGTTTGCCTCAATCCTCCCAAATACCTACTGTCTTAACGAGGAAATTACTCCTAAACGGCGTCTATTGACGTAGAAACAACAATTTTTGTAGACCCAGGTTTAAGGTTTCCACAGTTAAATAAAGTAGTAAGTTCATCGCAGGACTCAGCGCAACTAAGTTTACGAAAGATCTACGAAAAAGCGGGTTCATGAGTAATATTTGTTCGAATTAATGAGTTTTATCTGCAAAACGTGCTGGGTAGTAACCTTGTTTTGCCCACTTTCCCGACAAATAAATCCAAGGGGTTCAATAAGTCAGATTCGTCATTGGCTCAGGGGTCTATTGCTGTGAAGCAGATAGCCCAGCCTCCCAGCATTGGTTATATTTATTATGTGGTCGCAGTTTAGCTCTTCGCGCATCCTGTGTTTAGTCTCCTGTAATCATTCACCGTTTGTTTATTCCTTGTTTTTTAATGTATTTTAGACAAAGGCGTCTTGCTGTAATGTCAACATAGTCATCGTTTTCTGTGGATTAAGCATTCTCCTTCTTAGTCTTAACACACGGGAATGAAGTCTACAAATCTACGAAAATAAATATCCGTTACAGTAAAAGTATTCATCTTCGTTCAAGTAACTAAACGTACCAGTTCACCTTTAACGATGTGAGTGTTCCAAACGCAGCAGTGACGGCAGATTCGTGACCACCTTTTTGACGCAAATCGTCTGTTCCCTACTCAAAGTTACGGTTTTGACTTAAAACTACGGATCTTCTCAACCCGTCGAAGAAGACGCATTCTGAGGCGCTGCTGGTTCGTCTATTATCACGTGATGGAAGTAATACTCCTCATGGAGAAATTCGTACCTAGGCTGCAAACTTTAAGTCGGAATTTAAATCAGGAACGGAAGTACCATCGAAAGAAGGCGCCTTTAGGGGCGAGAAAGGTCTTCTCAATCTTTAATCTTTGCTTGTCATAAACCTTAAGAAGCAAAACAAGCCTTTGAAGCAGACTTAAAAGATCAACTTGTCGCCTTTCTGTGTCCCAACTCCAGGAATTCGGCAAAAACTTCCGACCAGACTCTTAAAATCACAAAAGCAAACGAGTGGTTCAGAAAAGTGATTTTCAAATTGATATTTTGGTGCCGGTTTATGATCGACTTGTCTGCCTTTTCATCCAGGTGGAATACGACGTGCTTAAATCCAAGGATGGAAACCTAGAGTTACGAACGCGGACAAGGGTGGAACAACGCGCCGTACCCAGATGCTTTGCATCGATGGGCCACTACTACAAGGAGGACTTCATTTGCATTGCAAACTCTGAGTCTAAATTGAAACTCATCAATGTGGTCACGTTGATGTGCCGCAAAACAGTGCTTGCACCGCTCCAGTGTCCTCACTATCGAAGGTAGTCGTTTTTATTAACTTGATGGTATTTCGCTCTCGGGCGATGTAATCACACTGACGATCCACGCCGCAAAAATTAGTTCCAAATGAGCTATGTCCAGGAGTAGGACCTGCATTAGCGATCTTAGAATTAGAAAGCAAGAAAGGTGTACCAACAATGAAGAAATCGAACGACACAAACGACGACGACGTCTACCGTGTGCCTCAAGGAGTGGGCGCGACACCAGTGGCTTGCGAGTAAATTAGTTTATGGGAAGACAGACTTGCGCAGTATCTGCCATCCTCTTCCCCCCACACCCACTAGACTCCGATGGTAAGGCAGTGCCAAAGCGACTGGAGGTGGACCCGGGTGCAACAGCCGCAAAACGAAGCATCCCGTCTGCGCGTACCACTTACGACCTAGTCCCCACAAAATGTAACAGGCTCTCGCGCAAAGAGGGGGATTTGGATCTTACGTTCGTGAGATGCCACAGAAGCCACATTAAGAAGCTACCATTGAGCCGGACTTCTTGTTCCCGATCTAATCATCGCACATCCACACCAAGTACTGACCACATTGACCGAGTTATCTAGTCAGTTTGTACCGAAAAATGAAGAGGTCAGAACGATCATTTCTAATCTATTTGTCGCAGACTGCCAACACTGAATTTTGGACCACGATGACATGAGAGCTGGAACTGAACCAGTTGCTTCGGAGCAAATGGTCTCAAAAAATAGTTAAAGCCTGTCTTTGAACAGCAATGATGGTGGTTGTGTGTAGCTCGTCGCGTTTTCTTGATTGGAATATGCAACAGTACTGTGTCTCCTGCATCTGTGAAAGAAATGAGTGATTTTAACTGAAGTATTTGGTGAAAGATTTCGTAAACAATATTATTCTTGAAAAGTTGATTTGGCAGTGTCTAATATAGCAGAAGCCGGGGTTTAAGTGACATCGACTGAACTATATGATCGGCTCTCAGCAAAAAGAGGTCGCAACGATTTATTGATAATGGCTGCAATCGAAACGGTGGGGTATGCCGGCTCACCATAGAAAGTCCTCCAGTCAGCACGAGTAGCTCTTGCGAAAATCTGCATAACTGGGGTGAAAGTAAAGAAAATTAAGTATCACTTACGTTGCATTGCGCTGTCTATTTCACGGAAGTTAGTAGCAAGTTTATATTCATTTTAAACTATGAAAGCGGATTGTGTCATACGATAACTCGTCTATTTAGAAGCAGTACGTCTTTTTCCTGCTCTCAATTAACATATATTTTCATATCGACCCAACTGTAAAAAACTCGGCGCCTCGGTGGGATTCAAACTCACGCAGTATGGGGAAGGCTGTAGTACAGCTGTACTAAAGCCTTCCTCTTACTGCGTGGGTTCGAAACCTACCGTGGCGCCGAGTTTTTTACAGTTGGGTCAATATGACTTATTCAAATTCTGCCAAAATATCTATGAATAACATATTTTTGAAATGGCAACAACCCATTACAGACGTCCGAATGCATTAGCACAATTACCCATGCAACATGGATTATAACCCTTAAATTTGTTTTCAGTTCGACTAAGGAATCGAAGATGCAATGCTGACAGACATGGAATATTTCTATATCAGCATTCATATTGATGTAGACCTGAATTTACGCGTAATTCAATATCTTCAGTCTTTCTGATCTTTTTTTGCAAAAAAATTCCTTTAACTCTGACTCATTATGCAATACGGTACGCTCCAGATTCGTGTGTAGGTCAAAGATATTAGATCAACTTTTACTACACGCGCACTCGCTTCCTCATCTCCAATATCGGAGGTCAACGAACTGCGACCTTGTTTGATATTTGCTTGTCAGAACAAGGCGTCCGTTCGGGGACGCATAAGCAGAGTTATTGCTTAGGCGAGTATGAGAAGTCTGCGCCAGCATGAACTAGTGACCAAGTGTTGAACACGTGATCGGTTGCTTCAAGGGCTCAGTATGACGCGCATGGTTACATGGGGCCCAGGGGTGACAGGCGCAGCTGGCCGATGCGCTTGAGCTGGCGCCAGTTTGTGAGCGCAATCGTGATCAATAGGCACTTCAATTCAAGCCTGAAGGCGGTCGTGCGTTAGCGACGTGTCTACGAGCTAGCACGATTGTCGCGGCCGTCTACTGATAAACGGAAGCCGGGAAAGGGAGCAATGGAGCGTCTGCTGCAGTTGATCCGTAGTAGCATGAAATGAGTCATTGGCATGCCTTCAAAGCACGCATTTAGAGCAACTCAAGAGCTCCAGGTGCTGATAAAATTCGAAGTGAGTTTCGCAGATCAAGGATGAGACCATCCACTGCTGGACGAACGGTTTTAAAATTGAACTCTTATCTGCGAAAAAAGTATAACAAACCAATTCGTAGCCTTACTCCAGCGTGTGGGTAATGATTTGGGAAGACTGGTCGCCTCTTCGAATGGACCGCTTGGGTGCTCGTATTTTTAGACTGAGTCGTAGTGCTGCCTGACCTTCGTAGTGGCACGGACAGCCGTGGCGTTGAATGTGATAAACTGCAGCAAACTGCCCACTTACTTTCACTTTATCCTCCATCCGCATGACTCTGGCACACACAGTAGCTGCATGACAATTGGCGACGTCTACAGCAAACTTTGCGGCATTGTGTTCCGTCTTCCCAATTATATTCCCCATGCATGGTAGAGTGCCAGTGCTGATGGGTGTCTCCTGTTTCTACCTCGCGAACACGTAAAGATGCAGCAATCAGTCGAGTTGGCTGAGTAGCTGCTCCTTGGTAAATGGTCCCGTGAGTGCCGGACTTCCTGTATTCATTCACCCGGGCCGCTGCGGTGCGTTTTCACGCTCTGAAATAGCACCCTAATAAATCGCGTTTGCTCATTATCGAATGGTTGCTGTGGTGTAGAGAACGATAGTTGTGTCAGTCACCTCCTGGTACACCGTGCTGCTAAGTCCACCATCCGATCTGCGCATGACGAGAACGTAAATCAAGGGCATCTCTCGGGCCTCTTCTTTCTTACTTGCGAACCGAATGTCCAGAGAAATGTTGTTAAGGAGTTCTTGGAGGCTTTGTATTCTGCTCCTCTCGACTGTAACGTAAGTTGTGTCTTCCAACGTATCCGCGGAATTGGGGCATTTTAAGTGACTAGATAAACTGCGTCCTTCAATAAAGGAATACATTTTGCTCACACATATGCCCCCTAGGATGACATTAAGATAAGAACACGGGAGACTGGAATGGCCATTTCTAGTCTGTTAGCCGTAATCAGCCAGACATAACCAGCTCTAGGTTTAGAACCCCTGGGGCTCGAGCCTGCTTATTGCTGGTTAGAATTCCAACGCTCAAACCGTTCGGCCATGGGCTCGTGATCCTGTTCGTTGCGCTCGGGCAGATGGCGCCCGCCGATCGTGCCACGGACACACTCACCCCGCTGTGCCTTGGGATTCGACCTATAGCCTCAGGATTGCAAACCTAGGGGTGGCCGCGGGTAGGTGGTAATGGCTAATAAGAGTGAAGTGTCCATTCCAGTCTTCCATGTCTTTTTTGGTAATGTCATTCTGCCTATGCCAGGAGCCGTTCTGCCGTTGCCTGCGGAGCTCCAGATCGAGCCCCATGGCACAACGGGACAAGTGTGTCCCGTGAGGCGATCGGCGATTGCCCCTCCACCGTATGCTCTCCATCGTCTTATTGTATCCCCATTACCTTCCAGAATACTTGCGCTTCCTGAAAAGGAGACCGAAAACACGCCACCAAGCTCTCCACTTCGCAACTGCCTGAAATATGGCAACCACCATTGCTTACTTTTTCTGACCAACGAGCGACTCGGACTGGTACTTCTCCCTTTGGACGGAGATCCCTATAAAACTGTGAATGTGATCGCCCATCCAAGTTGTGAGCGCGGCAGTGGCTATGCTACCGGACTGGCCGTTAGCCGGGACGGACGGATCGCGTTTACGACAGGTGGACCGGACAACTCCATCCACATGTGGAAGATCGACCGAGAGTGTGTTGATTATCTTTATTTCCTCTCTCCATATCGTCTACTTTAGGTTTTTATTCTTGCTACTGAACGACGTGCTCTCTATTTCTGAAAATTCAAGATACTTACCCCAATACTTGCGTTAACATAGTATAAATAGCCTTTGACTTGATCTTACACTTGAAGTGCTCACACTCCAACCTCTTAGTGGGAAGACCTAAAACCATTTATTTGAACCCTTAATTTCGTCTAACTTCAGATAACCCACTTACGATTTCGGACCAAAATAGTAGCTGCAGAAGTGTTATAATGCTGGACTCTTTGCCAGTAGAAGCGAAGAGACGAGTCCCAGGAAGCAGACTTGAAGTGGAAGACACGATCTGTTTTTGTCTCTGATAATGGACTCGAGCAGGAATCCGAAACGTCAGGCTAACAAAGCTTTTGTCCCGGCGATCGTGTCTTATACTTCTAGGATGGACCCTTTCTTCAACTTCTTCGTTCATCAGTTTTGTGGGAGCCAGAGGGCAGGCTTTTAGGATGAGTCAACAGAATCATTGAATACATAAAACTGAATTTTATACTCGTGAAGGCCTTTCAAAAAACCCCTTTGAAGCCCGGCTCCTATGGTGAAAAGTACTAACGGCTAACTTTTGATTTCGCACAGTACTGAGCAGGTCTATATCGTGAAAAACATATTTATATAAGTTCCTAGTAACTGTTAGAATCGAAGTGAATTCCTAGTAAAAGAATCGGGTTACATCGTTTAATGTTTTTCTTTTAAAGTGTCCTCATTGCACAGGCGAGTCTGTACTCAGATGATATGGTGCCGTTCTACAACATGCTAACACCGGAATTGCTAAATGACCTGAAAGACTACTTCTACTTGGCCCTTCTCCGTCAACAAGGCATCTCCTCAATGGATACAAGAATAACAGCTGAGAAGATACCCATAACTGAGATTCCGTTTGTAATGCGCGCAATAGGCTTTTTCCCGACCGATGAGCAGGTGAGTTTGTTGTAAGATACAAATAAAATTGAAGTATAAATCATGAAGTTTGAAAAAATGGACTATATGTTCGGAAACTGAGGCCTTGGATTTGCCTTTGATTGAGGTTCGACATTTAATATGGTGTCCCCTGTCCTTAATTTGTTTTTAAAATATGTCTACTGCAGTTTTATTTAACACATACGTTCGGAATGCTGCTAACTGGACGATACTTCGCCATTCATAATCGCCTACGGTTATCCTCATCAAAATAAGACTGTGGTCTAGACAGTAAGTTAATTTTTAGTGTGTTGTACTAAGGTGAATGTCGACGTGTTCGGATGGACTCTTTTGAGTGTAAGCGCGCATGTCGAAAAAGAAGTAGACTACTATGGTGTCGTTGTTCATACGAAACAGAAAGCCTGATCACTGTGAAAAAATGCTATTCAGCTGACATCTCACACTGACTCTGGCACTCGTCGTCATAAGTGCCAGGGGACAAAGGCAGCGGACGCACAGGAGTCGGTGTATTTACAGAACGTATGTGCTACACTGACACACCGACGAAAATTAGCGACAGGCAGCTTCATTGCAGATGTTCTTATTTGGCTTTCATCTTCGTCTGGGGTAACTACCGACTGGGTATTCCGGTTAGAGTAAAGTCGTGCAACGTTCAATCAACCACATAGACGAAACTGAAGTAACCGTACAACTGCAACGTAAGTCCCAGCCCACACAGCCTGAACAGCCCATTTAGTGCTTTAGTGGTTTGGTCGTCCACACATTTTGTTAATCGTCGCGATTTCGTCACCGGTGGCGGTAACTGGAATGATGATTATTATTTAGTAATTCGGCTGACTCAGGCTATCTCTGAAAGTTGCGTACACTCGCAGGCTCCTCGCGTGACTAATTACGTTGTCCAGGTAGCCTTAGTGTTGAATAAATATGGGGAGTCATTACGTTTCTTGGACTGCTAGAGCCAGGAAACCATAGCTGTAGCAGTCCGCAGCGTGAGCGGCTGACATCCCCTGACAGATTTTGACCTACCGAAGCTATATGGTGAGGCTCGGTCAAGTGAGGTTGACCTTGATAGTTGGAGTTACTGCTCCCAAATACCCGTGTGTCTTTGACCATCCGACAATAAGGACTCCGCTTTCTCAACAACTCCATGGATTTCTCCTTTTCACATTCATCTGCAGCTGTAGTAGATGTCATCAATGACTGCAGTTCAACGTCTGACTTTGACAAACTTTCTCACTCTCTGCGCCATAGGGAGGTGTTGCCAAAACTACTGTCTTTCATATCCTAAATTTGCCTTTTGATGAGAATGCCCTCCATATTCCCCACAGAGTACTGAAGCCGATGGAAGTCCCAACTGGTTTTAGCCATTCGAGATGCAATTTCGTCTTTGCTCTTGGAGTTTTTTGAGACTGCGTTTTCATGAGAGGATAATAAGTCTACGGTGACCAAGCGATTCTCGTTGATGCTGACTTCGGATGTCGTATATTTAAAGGCGAGTAAGGAACGACGCATGACAAGTGTTTTTGCTGTGTCCCTGCATAACCCGAAGAAGTCGCATCAGAAAATGAAGAGATCCCTGCTTCGCTCCATGCACAACAAGCACTGGACCCCGCATCACTCCATCTGTCACGCGAACAGTTTTGGGGTTATTTGTTATTAGTGACGCGCATAATCACCCACCAGAACTATCAGCGTTAACCTTTATGGACATGCAAATTTCACATTGATTTTGCAGACTGCATCTTAATTCACGCTGTTGACGGCCTTCGTGGAACCGACGAAGGCAATACAGAGGCCGGTCCTCCCTGCTTAACATTTTCCTCCAAAGTACACACTGTGATGACTATGCAGGTCGTTGCAACGTTTCCGGAATCCACACTGAGTCCCTGGAAGAAGCCCTTCTGGCAGACGTGCAATTAGGTAGTGAAGGAGAGGAATATTTGACTTCTAATAGCACGGTGGTTCTGGCTGAACAGATCAGCGGAACAGTCGAGGTGGGTCGGGGCTGCAGAATGTCCTGAGGACCATGAAAAATCTCTCCATTTAACTGTGGTAGACATCTCCTCGGCTTGTCTCTGCGGTGAGGATAGGTCGTATAGCCTCACTGGGTTTAATATGTGTAACTACCTATTAAGTTTGTTTTAGTGGACCTTGTTTAGTTTATTAATTCAATGCTACAGGATTCTGCCTTTGGGTGTTATCTAGCGCATTGGTATAACTGAGATGCTTCAGAGCGATACGATGTGCATGCATTGTCTTACGTTGTTGGTTCGGTGCGCCACGGCCCATTTATTTTTTCCAAATGAGTGCTCAAACCATTTTGTCTCATTCTGCTACTCACTATGCAACGTGACTGGGTGTTAGCTTACTCTGCGACCTGGTGCCGAAGGCCTGTATTTTGGAAGAAAAGACATTATCTATTCTGTTCATTAGTGTATTGCCATTATTGCGCATAGTCTTTGAATACGTATCCTTACGGTCCTTAAAGTTTTATATTACGTAACTGATCCGCCTTATCATGCAAATACAAACTTGCGTTCCTACTTACGTTGAGTTTTTCGTGTTCATTGGGGGACATTTGCATGGTACCTCTAACATTCATGTGCACTGTGTTATCTGACGGGAAATTTTCACAGCTGCATTATTCGGCACTTACTGTTCTTCTGTCCTCTTGGCTGTTTGCTCTGTTGCTACTGTCCTGTTTCAAATTTGCAAGGGACTGTTTATTCAAATACCTTTTATATGTCAGTTACTCTGTTTATTTTTCAATTAATTCGCTCAATTCTGTTGCTATACATAATCATAGGAGAAGAATTTCGACGGAAATCTACCTAAATTTTATGTTTTACTGCATTCTCTTCGTTACCTGAGTGCAGTTATGCTTCACCCTTAAAACCCCTGTTACATCATTCCCATATTACACGGGCCTGGGGTTATTGGTTGCCAGGTGGGGTTACACGGCCTACCGTCGCTGTCTCTGCTCCATAATAATATCGCCTGTTCTGCATTTACCATACTCTGCTATATTTGGCGTTTGTATCAGCGGAGTACAGTTCTGTTTGTGGTGATGTAGTTGTCCAAAAAGGTCTTGTGAAGCCGGCTCTTCCTAAACAGCAGGCTCTGGATTTCTTCGTCTTTGCCGTCGAATAATTCCTGCTTGCGAGTATGAGGGATTTCGTGGCACGTGGACCCCGCTTTAGTCTTTTTATTATATCCCCCGTAGTATGACACCAGTTGCTGCGTGAAAAGGAAGACAGGACGACGGAGGACAAATTTGCCGAGTGTACATCAACTCTCAATCCTTTTGTCCATGACGTCATATTTATGGGTTTCTTTCTTGTCTTTTTGGCGTGTTTCCATTGGTTAAACTCTGAGCACCCGCATAAACAAATCATCTCCCTGTAGCGCCTGAAAACGTAGAGGTTGGCACGCGCACACACACTAGTGCGGTGCAGTCAGCGGTTGTCTACAGCAGATGTTAGTGGATGCGCATCTGGCCGAATAGGCCCATGCGATGCGTGAAATTGTGGAGACAGTGTGGACAGTGGAGGCGAGTGCGGTGTGTATATACTGGTGCTCCAGGCACTGGTTCGCCGGTCTCTGTGCGATAGATTTGCAAGTGACCGACCAGGCCGATGCGTGCGGGGAGTGTCCGTGGGCAGTGTGGCCATGAGAGGTCGGTGGTGTCGGTTTCAGTTGCAGAGACGGTGGTGGGCGCACAGGTCGGTGAAATGAGGGTGAGGCTGGGCGTGGTGGATGTGTCGGGACGGCGGTCCATTCCGCTCTGGTGAATGTGCATGTGGCCGAATAGGCCAATGTGATGCGTGACAGTGCGAGGGCAGGGTGGACAGTGGAGGCGAGTACGGTGGGTGTAGGTTGGCGCTCCAGGCACTGATTCGTCAACCTCTGTTCGATGGATCCACAAGTGACCGACCAGACCGATGTGCGAGGTGAAGGTGCGGTCGCAGTGGGGGCAGGTGTAGTCCTGGTCCTCACCTCTGGAGTCAGAGGTTGTAGGGGTGGTGTCTGTTGTTGTGTCAGAATTGTGTGTAGTGTTGATGTGCGTGACAGCCACCAGAGTGGCCGTCGTAGGAAGAGTGAAGGAGGAGGAGGAGGAGGAGGAGGACGAGGAGGAGGACGAGGAGGACGAGGACGAGGACGAGGACGAGGACGAGGAGGACGAGGAGGACGAGGAGGAGGAGGAGGAGGACGAGGGGGAGGAGGAAGAAGAAGAAGAAGAAGTGGTGGTTCAGAAGAGCAGGTAGAGTTGGTTGGCGGCAGAGAGGACGAGGGAGAGGCGGGTGGAGAGACGATGGTTGGTGCGGTCCGAGAGGTGCAGTTGATCCGAAGGTGTCCAAAAAGTCCGACTCGTGCCCGGAATGTCCGTTGACACCGAGGACACGTGGAGGCGGTTGTGTGTTGGCATTGCGAGGTGGGCGCATCTGTGATTTGCGTGCTTTACGTTTGATTTTGGCGGCGGCGATGCGGTGGGCTTCGTAGATCGCTGCGTCCGCCTTCACTGTCCCTCTGCAGGTCAGTCGGTCGCGGGCGAGGTCTTCCCAGTTGGTCGGGTTAATTTGCAGACACTTCAGGGAGGACTTCAGAGTATCCTTGTATCGACGGATTTGGCCTCCTTGGCGACGAGGACTCGTGGCGACGTCTTCGTAGAAGTGTCGTTTGGGTAGCCCCTCGTCGTCCATGCGCACGAGGTGGCCATTCCAACGCAGCTGCAGTTGTCTCATCATGGTGTAGATGCTGAGGATTACTGTTTGTTCCAGTACATCAGTGTCGGGGATTCGATCCTGCCAACTCAGCCTCAGGATGCGACGAAGACAATTGAGGTGGAAGTGGTTGAGTTGGCGTGCCTGCTTTGTGTTCACTATCCAAGTTTCCGCTCCGTACAGCAACGTCGGGAGGATTACGGCCTTGTACATTTTTGGTTTCGTGCTGAGCTGGAGACCATGATGATTCCAAACTGTGCCTTGAAGGCGACCGAAGGCTTGAGTGGCTTTCGAAACCCTGCGGGCCACTTCGTCATCGATTTTTGTGCGGCGGGTGAGAGTACTGCCCAGGTACGGGAAGTTCTCTACCACTTGCAGTTGGGTGCCGTTCACGCTGATCTGTAGCGCATTGTGGGAAGTGGTTGTGTTGGGTGACAGTTGATGCATGACCGCCGTCTTCTGTGTGTTCATGACCAGACCGAAGTTTTTGCAGGCGGCGGAGAAGAGGTCCATGCATCCTTGCATATCCTCTTCCGAGGTGGTCTTCAGGGCGCAGTCATCGATGAAGGGAAGTTCGTGAAGGATGATTGTGGATGCGCGCGTTTGGAAGTGCACTCGTCGTGGAGTCAGAAGGTGACCGTCCGTCCTGTAGGCGATGCGGATCCTCGGGCGTTCATCATGGTAGGCGTCCATCAGCATGGCAGAGAACATAAGACTGAAGAGGGTGGACGCTAAGACGCATCCCTGCTTCACTCCGTTGGTCACTGCGAATGCCTCTGAGACAGCTCCCTTGTCCGTGACTCGCGCCATCATGCCGTCGTGGAGCTGACGCACCATCTGAATGAATCGCTCGGGACAGTCGAATTTCTGCATGATCTTCCACAGTCCTTCACTATTCACCGTGTCGAAGGCTTTCGTCAGGTCCACGAAGGTAGAGGACAGGTGGGTCCGCATCTCCTGGTACTTCTTCTGAAGTTGATGGGCGGCGAAGATCATATCCATGGTCCCGCGATGACGGCGGAAGCCGCACTGGCCTTCTGGTAGAAGGCCCTGCTCTAGGTGATTATTCAGGCGGTTGAGGAGGATGCGAACGAAGATCTTCCCGGCGATGTTCAGCAAGGAGATGCCACGGTGATTGTCGCAGAGCTGGCGTTTTCATTTTCGCTAGTATAGATGTACGATTGTTGCGTCTTTGAAATCTTGCGAGACTCCCCCTTGACGCCACATCTCCTGGAAGAGCGCAGTCAGTGGTCCATGAGTTGGGGACTTCCGTGCTTGAAGACCTCAGCAGGGATTGCGTCCGATCCGGGTGCTTTCCCGCTGGAGAGCTGCTGCACGGTCCTGACGGTTTCCTGCAGAGGAGTCGGGAGGTCGAGGTCCTCGTTTGTCTTCTAGGGATCACACACACACTCACACGAGAGTTCGACCGTCGATTTCGACGATGTCCACCATATGTCCCACAGCAGGTGGTGGGAGAAGGGACGGTGATTTGCGCGGGGGTTTTTAGTGCCAGTAGACTTGCGCTGTCTCTACCACACTCTCTCCTCCTACCCCACCTGAGCCCGATGTCAAGACAGATTCAAGAAGACTGGAGATGAGGGTGGCCGTCGGTGAATGGCTTGGACGACTCCGCACCTTGGCGCTCCACTCCGCACCCCCTAGTCCGCACAACAAATGACGAGGATTTTGACCGCAAAATCAATGGAGGGCGTGGTAGTGGTCCTAGTTTGTGCGACGACTGTCCACAACAGCGTCTGCCAGCGCACCCCCTAGATGTTGACATTTGTTGTTGCGCAAAGATAACGCCTGCCAGAATCTGATGTGGCCCCCGTGGTGGCCCAGTGCATCTAACACGTGGCCCATTTGGGGGGCAGAACACACACAGACAGATAATAAGCACCCGCTGTCGATACCTGGTCCGCGAGAATTATATAACCCTAGTACCATCTGGAGTGAGGAATGCTTTGTTGTGTCCATTAGACCACCAATGAGGAGTGCAGCGCCGCAGGCAAATGTCGGAGAGGAACGTGAGGATACTGACTTTGTGTGATAAAGAACATGAGACTCTCCGAGACGACAATAACTGTATATGCGATCGTCAGAAACTGAGAACGGGAGGAGGCGCCGGCATCTTCCTGACACTCTATCACACCGTCCCCATCCTGGTTCCGCGCTAGCGTGCCCTTCACTCCAGCTAAACAACCTGTTCAGACCGTGTTGCGTAACATCGCGTTGCAGACCCTGAAGGTCGCGCTAGTTGCTGACTCGCGCGCGGGCTTGGTGGGAGAGACTGGTCTGCGGCCAGGCGCTTTCCTATCGCGGGTGACTGCTGGACGACAAGAATGGTGCGTCTCGTTCCGGGCAGCCCTAACATTTTCGATTGTTTTCCCATTTCCCCGTTTCGACATCCACGGGACGATATTACGTTCGATCCATTGCACTGCTGCTGTGTGGTCAGCTTTCCACTGGTTCATTTCCTGAAACGGTGAGTTTATGACACTCGGCTAAAATCAGATCTCCAGGAAAGGTTTTTTCAGCATGTCCGTGGTGCCGCACCCTCAAAGAGTGTCCAGGACTAACTAAGTCGGAGGACTTGACAAGTTCTAGAACATGCAACCTGTCCGCGGACTTTTACAAAGTGGTTAGTAGCGTATAAGCATCTTAACAATCGATCTGCCTGCTACCGCAATTTCGCGCTAGGCCAACGTTAAACCCCTAATCCCATCTTTTTATTGTAGATCGAGCTGATGATGAACGAAATCAAATTCTCAGCATTCTATGAAACCGGCCACTATACGGACTCCATCGATTTGGACACCTTCATAAAGTGTGAGCTTAATTTTCGGACTGAGCTAGCCTTTATTCATTTAATGTCTATATTCGTTTACTCAAATTTCTGTTCTTTTGTGACGAACGTAGGATATTTTTCGGTGATATAAGTGTTCCTAGCAGCCGTGACTCTGTTTGGCCATATTGTATGTGTTTTCGCCTCCAATAAACTAAAATAAGTCAGTTGGGGACGCGAAGGCAGGATCCGTACCACTGTATCAACTCCAGGTATTTAAAGGAAGTTTTCGTAATTTGGCAGTTTTGCGCCATTAAAAATTTTCAAAAAGTGAACCACAGGATCCTAATATAAACGTCTTGTCTGTCTTTTAACGCATTGAAAATATGCTACAAAAAGAAAAGAAGCCATAATTCATTTACTTAACCCCCACTGCCCCTTGCCCTTCTCTCACGAATGCGTCATTTTCAGTGTATATCAACCACCGTGACAGGCATGGTACTCTCTTGGATGAAATAACACAGGCTTTCTGGGCCATAAAGTCTGCAAAACGGCCCTGCACCCCGCTTTGTCCTCATCGTAACACATGCCCAGATCTGCAAGGAAAAGAGGAACCAGTTATTGACAGGAACCATCTGTTAACCGTCATACAAACTCTCGGTAAATTGCAATTGCCTAATCACTGAAGTTTTCGCGAGATTTTTCTTGCTGAACGGCTAGATTCCATCTGTAAAAAATCTCAATCGAAACAAAAATGGTCGTTTACCAAAGAATAAACATACCCCTTGCTAACAGCAAGCAGATTGCACTGGATTGGTTGTTTGAAAATAGAAAGTGATACAGGATATGTGTTAAATTAACTTTTGCAGGATGGTCTTAGTAGCTGCAGATAATAATGATAATAATAAGATTCCTCGATGCAATTACCTCTAACCGTTTTTGCAATTAACTTTCGAGGAGCCATTCAATATATACTTAATTTCTAAACGGCAATGTATAGGCTGAACTCAATACTGTAACCGAGCACAGTCTATTAGGCATGTGGTCAGCTTGAGGTATTTCTTTTCCCCTCCTAGACAATTAAAGCAATATTTTTCGCGCCTCTTCGTCAGAAAAAATAATTCCTGAATGAAGGCAAATGTTTGGATTCCAGGTGTCTGTATAAGTAAGAAAGAAGGCTGACCGAGAGCCGGAAGAATTTGTTTATTTGCCTGAGCTTTCGAATTCATGTTGGAGTCCATTATCGACAATTAAATAAGCAATGGAACAAACGATAGTTGTAGACGGTGCTTGCCAATCAACGATGATTGACGCAGGCATGGCGGTGGCTGCGCAGGGCTCTGTACACCGGCGCGTAATCGATACCTCGATTGACTGGGTTTTCATTTGAGGGCCAGACATCAAAAAGTTCTCAGCATGCCATGTTTCTTGCGTGGGTGATTGTCTTTGGGGCTCCGAAGTTAAACTTGTGACCCGTTTCGAAGATGTGAACATGTTGGCAGGGTTTCCGTGTTGGTATTGTGGGCCGGAAGCGCTTGGGACTTGTGGACCGCTATTTCGGCTTGGGTAACGGCGATCCGGTTGGCTTTATATATTGCTGCACCGGTCCTCACTGCTCTTTTCTAAGCAGGTCGATCCTGGGCGGGGTCCTCATTAGCGGCCTGTGGGGTGGGGCGAAAGTGATGGGTACAGGGGTTGTTTGATTGATTTTTTCCACGATGAGGTGTACACCCGTGAGCCTTGGTAGGCGTACAGATGACACGATCCCAGTATTTGGTCCGGACACGTTTGCGGCCTTTTCCCCCTCAAGGAGGTAAGCAGTACTATCCATATATAGGGCTGCTTAAGCATCGCACACAGCCGTCGAACTCCACTATGGGTCACGGTTTGGCTTAGTGGGGAACGATCCGAGTTGGCCTGAACCGCCAATGAGATTGCATGTCGCCCTCTCCGTAGGACCTTTCGAAAGTGGGATGGGCGAACGGGGGGATGGGAACACAATTGCCGGGTCTGGGGACACAAAACGCCGGATACCCTCATTTGCTTTGGTTCGCTGGTCGAGGCAGTTATCGAGGTGTGACCGCTAGGCGGAGCCTAGCTTGGGAAGTCACAGATAAGGGCTGGGTGCCAATTAAGGGACCTGCGGCGTAGTCACCACCTTACGAGGCACATGCTGCGACCTGCTACGATCTGCATGGTGGATCCCTTAACTAGGCACCCCTAAAGCCAGATAGTAAGCACGGACCTAGTCGCAAACTCCATCGAAATGCCAATCACGGCGGTAGCTCGTCATCCTGTGGGATGCCTCGATGACTGAGGACGTCTAAATCAAGGCTGGATTGTACAGCGGAGGACTTTTGAGGGTCTACCGTATGTTGGCGCTTCTTGACTGGCCCGAGCTTACGCCAGTCAGTCTAGTCTCGAATTCAGACCGCTAGCTTGCATATAGTTACGATGTCAATGGAGGTTTCGCCACTGGCCGAAAAGATTGGTCTGCTGGATCAACCAACAGCTCAACTCCGGGCATCGTCACGTGGCGGAGAAAAAAGGTGTGCCAAGGCCTACAGTCACGCCTGTAATAGGACATAAAACCAAAGCATAAGGATTGTAGACATTGTTCAAAAGACGCTGGGAAGTCTTTCGAAGACGGAAACGATGTAGGAATGGGCCAAGTACTGCTTCTGTATTGTTACCCGACAAGGAGATCAACGGCTTAATCAATCCAAAATTATTTTGTTGTAATGTGGACCGATTAATGACACTCTCCTATGACACCCTTTCCGTTTCTTAAGGTGAACCAGTTCGACATGATGAACTAGTCGACGACCTTGCCGTTCTCTTGGGCCTGGCTCCAGAGGCTGGCCATGTAGAGGATCCCCACGCATTGGACGATCTCTCCGTTTCGGACGAGATTGAGAAGAGGCTGCCACTGTGCTTCACGCCACGGAGCTTTGCAGAGCAGCTACTAGCCATGGAGCTTTGTAAGGACCTGCCGGCCACGCTGGACACAACACGTGACATAGAAGTCCCTCCCGTGACCGCTATTGCAGATGTTCAAACAACTAATTGCATGTCTTGTCACTGATCCTGGAGGAGTGCGTCTCTCTCTCTCTCAACTTCTGAATGGTCCACCTCCCTCTGTCAATTACTGCATGGGCCTGGACCTTGTGGTGATAGTTTCTTTCCAAAAGCTACTAAGACATGCCAAAAAGACACCTACGTGCTTGTGGTTGTGATATTTATCTTCACAAAAATGGTGTTCTAGTTTACCAGCCAAAAAGCATATTCTAATCATCCTGCTCAATCAATGAAAGTTAAGATTTCTGCGTGCTTCCCAAGTTTTACCAGAACCGAGAGAAGTGATTAGCTGCTCGACAAACGAACAGCGTTTCAAATAGTGCGGTATGTCCTGTTTTACAGAAAATTCCAACCATCTTTGTATGGAATACGCCGGCTACTTCAGCTTTGCAGGATTCATATTGAAAACAAAGTCCATCGGCCTTAAATCTGCAAATCTTATGTCCACAGTTTCCAGCAGTTCTTAAGGTTTCTTGGACAGTTAACTATTTCTTCGTGTAAGTGCTTTAAGGGGCATTAGACTGGCTATTTAGATTGACTATGCGTTTTTCGCATAACAGTCTTGCCGATACCGATCCTGTCTAACGTCCTCTGGACCCCGTAACTGGGGGCTACAACGGAGCAACCCAGCCGGCGATCAACGCGTCTGACCCCCTGAAGGCAAGATGCACGGGAGGACTCGACCTGCCCTCACTTCTAGCTCCCTTTTACGATGTCGACCTTATCGCCCAAACTGCATTCACCGCAAATTACTGGCTAGTGTGCAACCCTAAAATGTGACGGGTCTTTAATAAAAAATTATCATTATCATCATAGAACCACCAACGTCTCATCGAAGGTAACCTAGCCATATTCAGCCTCGTTTAAGTGCAAAAGCGAATGTCCTACGCAACAACTATTCTTTCACAACACATGACAGTAAGCAAAAAATACTGAAAAGATGCTGACTCGAAAATATGTCAGGTGAAATACTCCCCTTGACAGCCCCATTGTGCACAACCGTTAAAAATCCCCAGATTCAAGATTAGTCGAAATTGGTTATTATCCGAAGATGTCGGTGCATTTTGCATCAATTATCATCTAAGTTTATAAGCGATGGGAAATAACATCTAAATCCCTTTATACGCTCATTCTATAAATCATGACTGATGCTAAATTTACTGTCCACAAGCCAGATCTCTCAGTAACCCTGCATTTACAGGTCTTTATCGAGAAACATGAACGCATTTTTACGCATAACCCAGCCTCCAGCGACTATTTGTGATCCTGCCACGCATGATAAAAAACGTATAGCTGCTTGGGCAGTAGGGACGGAGGTCAGAAACAAACAAATGGGACAAAGCAAGACAGCAACGCTCAATCAGAACAGAGTGAAGACGCAGATCTCGGGTTCAGTCACGTGACACTATTAGATAGTAATATAAGTTTTGGTACGATGCCCAAAAATGATCAACCAGTAGCTGAAATTGACTGCCAAACAACACATGCAAACCAAAGCTTTGTTAAGTACACCAGCACAACCAAAATGCCCTAAATATGTATATCAAAGGACAATGGATTCTCCGAACACTCGTCAGAAACGAATAAGCCTTTATACTTGCTCCTCAACTCCCCGAAGTACACCTGCATAGAATGAGAATAAACCAAAGCACTCTAACATTTTTACCATATTAACACCTAATGACAACTCGACAAAATTCCTAGGCTTGCAAACTTCCCCAGCTAAAACCCCATCTAGGTACAACTACGACCTAACTAATCCGTTTTTCCTTTACATACACTCAACCCCTACACTCTAACCCATACACTCAAATCCCGTTCTACGCATCACCATTTTTTTCGACAGCCATATGATCCCCTCCCTTTATCCCATTACACAAACAAAATGCCATTGAAAATTATTTTTTTCACCACAGCCTGCCACTCCCATGTCCAATACACTAAATATCGCTCTTATGGATGCAAGATCGATAGTCATAAAATATTCCGACTTAATAAATTTTGTTGAAATATGCAACCCCAATATAATTTGCATTTTTGAAACATGAGCAAATGAATTAATGCCAAGTACTTCGCTATATATCTAAAATCATAATTTCTATCGACAGGAACGTGTTAATAAACGAGGCGGACGTTGTCAGATCTACACCAAAATTACCGCTGAACAGAGTGGTCTTGATGCCCTACCGAAACTTTCGCTGGAGCAGCGTGTTTTGCTACAATAAGACCTCTGACCCACGAAAACACTGGTTGGATGCCTCTACTTCCCTCCAGAATGTACTAATGATGACACAGTCCTTAACCATCTGTTATGTATGCAAAACAGAAGGGTAATTGGAAATAGGACGTGTACTGAGTACGATAGACAGCACAAGTGAGGAGGCTTAGGGAAACGGCCGGGCATATGGCAAGGGGGACTGTCATAGGCTGATGGGTGGCCAATCAGCACAAAGAAGGTGTGAACAGGGGTCATTACCTTGATCGTTCGCTTGTCACGTGTTTGTGGCATGATGCCGTGACGGCCCGGGCAGGATACGCTGCATCCCTCCACCCTAAAGTGGAGAGCATGAGGAAGAGGGGGGGAGGGGTAACAGTAAAGGTAATAATGGATAACTAGACAATGTTCTAATAAGACTCCTCCTGAAAGCGTTGGACAGGTTTGCGGATTCGTTTCGATCTTCTCAGGGCGGTATTTTCTACCTCTGCGTCGTTTTGTGCAGTCACTGGCTCCTCTGCCCCTAAGCTAGTGTCGGTCGGGACAGAAGGAGGAGGAGGAGGAGGAACATACGCCTCGGTCGGTGGCGTAGTGCTCTGTGCAGGCAGTAGGTGTTCAGTCCTCGGGATGTCAGGATCCCCATCAAGGGTTGCTGGCAGTTCGAACTTTCCGAACTCTCTACTTGCTGTGTCCGTCCGGCTGCGAACTTGGTCCAAATGTCGACGCACAATTCTCCCATCTTCTAACTCTAATTCCACTATTTACCCCTCGCTTGTTCGAACTACCGCTGGACACCAGTTCTTTTCGTGTTCCAGTCGCGTGTAGACACTTTCGTTAGGTGCGACGACTCGTGGTCGGGTGTTCACATCATATCGTGCTTTCATCTTCGTCTGTTTTGCAATGACTCTGTCATGCGTTGATGGATTGAGTAGGTCGAGTCGTGTGCGCAACTGCCGCTTGAACATCAATTCTGCAGGTGAAGCACCAGTTGAGTCGTTTGGTGTTATGCGATAGCTGAACAGAATGCGTGACAACTTGGTGGCCAAGTCCGCTTCCGTCTGTTTGGCTAGTGGGGGTGGTTGTCTTCTTTATCTTAAATCCTACCTAAAGCACTCTCCCTATTACTTGGATGTTTCCTCATTCACGGGAAACTTCTGCTTTGCATCTGTTATTCTCTCGCCGCAAAGAAAGGCAATTATTGGCTGTATCTACAATCCCCCAAATTCTTTAGCCAGTGATGATTCACAACTCTGTGAAATCTTTAAATTAATTTCGGAAGCTGCTTTCGATGTTAAAATAATCACTGGGGATTTTAACCTTCCTGAAATTGACTGGGTTTCCAATAGCTGCCCACCCAGATTCCAGCCCTTTCAAGATATTATCAGTTTTTCAAATTGGTCCCAACTGGTGCGCTCTCTAACAAGAGATAATCACATTTTAGATCTAATCTTTACCAATGACATTGCTCCTCTTTCTGTTGCTTTAAAAAAGGACCTCTTTGACAGTGACCACGTATTAATTCATTGTTGCCTACCGCTTGCCTTTTCAAAAAAGACAAGCGCCGTTCAGACTTTCATGAACTACGACTGCGTAGATAGCGACTTAATAAATAACTATATGAGATCCTTGGATTGGTATGGCTTCCTCACTTGTAGCGATGTAACCATTCTTAGTGATGTCATGTCCAATGTTTCCAAGGACATTCTAGAGTTTGTGCCGCGTAGATATCTCAAGCCTAATTCTTCAGATTCTCTTGTTCCTCATTTTCTTCAGAACAGACTAAAAAAATTGAGGCGACAACTGCGTGACCTATCCACTAGTTCCTTATCAGTTCATCTTAGAATCACAGAGATATTTGAGATGGCCTCAAGGATGCGCCAAGCGCGCGACAGGCAAAGAGAATCAATTGCTCTCAGTGGTTCGAACCCTGGCAGATCCGTCGCTAGCATCTTCCGTCATCGGTCCTACTCTAAGCGTGGTCATGAACTTCCACCCATGCTAAATGATAAAAAGTCTTCCTCACCGATGACACTGACAAGGCGGAGTTGTTTAGTGCTTTCTTTGCAAAACACCTTGCTACCGAGTCCGATCCGGTCCCTTTCTTTCGATCACTTACAGATAGGACACTGAGTACAATTGATGTCTCCTCAGATCTCATTAAGAAACACATAAGCCGTTTGAAATACTCCCACTGCTCAGGAACGGACGGGATTCCGAATTCGATTATTAAACAAGCGTCCGACTTTCTCATATTGCTCAGTCATCTATTCTCGGTTTATATTTCAAAAGGATTCTTTCCTGAAACATGAAAAACGTCAATTATCATTCCCGTTTTCAAGTCAGGATCTCGATGCGATGTTAATAACTATCGGGGCGTGCACAAAACGCCGTCTCTAGCAAAATTTCTTGAAAGGATTATTTTCAATGAAGTTCTTGACTTCTGTCTAGCTAATCGGCTTCTGAGCTCTAGTCAGCATGGGTTTTTACCTGAACGATCCTGCGAAACATGCCACTTGGCTTTTCTTAATCTAATCACTTCTCTTCGTAATGAGCGGCAGTCAGTGGTTGTTATTTACTTTGATCTTAGCAAAGCCTTTGACAAGGTGCCCCATAGACGTCTTTTAGTAAAATTGGAAGCCCTCGGCATCCGGCCGCCTCTACTCGACTTCATTAGGTCCTATCTGTCCAACCGATATCAGAAAGTCATGGTCAGTAATAGCTACTCGACACCTCACTCGATCACGAGTGGCGTACTTCAAGGCACGGTTCTGGGTCCGCTACTCTTCCTTCTG